TTTTAAACTTACAGAATACATTAAACTTGAAGGGCTCAGAAAATATTTACAAGGACGTTGCCGGGGTTGGAGCTATAAAGAGAGGCTGAATAGGCTGGGGCTATTTTCCTTGGAGCGTCGGAAGCTGAGGGGTGGCCTTACAGAGGTTTATAAAATCATAAGGGGCATGGATAGGGTGAATAGCCAAGATCTTTTTCCCCAGGCTAAGGGAGTCCAAAACTAGAGGGAATAAGTTTTTACATGAGAGAGGAAAGATTTAAAAGGGACCTAAAGGGTGACTTTTCCATGCAGAGTGTGGTATGTGTATGGAACAAGCTGCCAGAGGAAGTGGTGGAGGCCAGTACAATTGTAACATTTAAAAGACATCTGGACGAGTACATGAATAAGAAAGGTATAGAGGGATATGGGCTAAATCCTGTCACATAGGACTAGGTCAGATTGGGAAATCTGGTCATCGTGGATGAGTTGGACCAAATGGTCTGTTTCCATGCTGTATGACTCTATAAAACCTGCTGCATGCCCTGTTGGCAGTGTAAATCGTAATAAACTAAAACGTCAATGGCTTAAAGGCTTTTTTTTGAGAATAGGTGGAAAAAGTGAATCTACAAATTTGAAGAGCCCTTGTTCCCACAGTTTGGCTGCTAGTTGGTGGAGGGAGTGGGGGTGGTTTGTAGAGGAGGCTTCCATACATTAAGGAGGGGGAACTTGGCAAAATAGTAAAAAAAAACTGAGAACAAACAGCTTTCAGAATGGTCCCATCAAGATGCTAATTGCCTGCAGCTCAAGGAGGAGGCCATGGCTCAGGGATAAATCCCACAGACCACATCCCGTCCCTGTGAAATGTCAGCCAGTGGGATAACCAGGCTGGAGTCCAGGCTGTAATAGACCTGCTTCAGAAGTTGCAATGGCTCTGACGCTGATAGCGTCGCTTCCTGTGGTGCTCCTGTCTTTCAAGATTTCACAATCGCATTTCACCCGTTGTTATCCAGAACATTTTGGGTGAGAAGACGGTGGCTCAGTAGTTAATACTGCTGCCTTGTGGTGTCAGGGACCTGGGTTTGATCCCAGCCTCAGGTGACTGTGTGGAGTTTGCACTTTCTCCACATGTTTTCATGGGTTTCCTCCAGATGCTCTGATTTCCTCCCACAGTCCAAAGATGTGTAGGTTGGGAGGATTGGCCATGCTAAATTGCCCATAGTGTTCAGGGATGTGCAGGTTAGGTGGATTAGCCATGGGAAATGCAGGGTTTACAGGGATGGGGTGGGTCTGAAAGGGATGCTGTTCAGAGGGTCGGTGTGGACTTAGAACATAGAACATAGAACATTACAGCGCAGTACAGGCCCTTTGGTCCTCGATGTTGCGCCAACCTGTGAAACCAATCTGAAGCCCATCTAACCTAAACTATTCCATTATCATCCATATGTTTATCCAATGACTTGATGAGCTGAAAGGTCTGCTTCCACACTGTAGGGGTTCTATGATGGTAAGGAAGGAGGGTGATGTGAGGGGAGTTTCAATGACTAACAACCTGTTGGCATTAACCCCACATTTCCCCGAACTGACTCTAAAATTCAGCCTTTTATTTCCTAACTGTCACCTGCCCAACCTTTCTCTCTCAGGCTGCAAGAATCAACTTTACGATCAATCCTCATATCCCAAAAAATTGATTATCTTTTTTATTAAAGAGTGGCTGTAGGTGCCAGAAATAGGATCAAGGTTAGGCCATTTTGCCCCACAAGCCAGGTCTGCCAGCCATAAGATCTTGCCTGATCCCCACATCCCTTAATTCCAAGCGTGGCATGGTGGCTCGGTGGTTAGCACTGCTGCCTCACAGCACCAAGGAGCCAGGTTTGATTCCACCCTCGGGCGATTGTCTGTGTGGAATTTGCACATTCTCCCCGTGTTTGCAACGGCTTCCTCTGGGTGCTCCAGTTTCCTTCCACAGTCCAAAGAAGTGCAAGTTGGGTGGATTGGCCAAACTAAATTGTCCCATAGTGTCCGGGGTTGTGCAGGCTAGATGGGTTAGCCATGGGAAATGTGGGATTATGGGGATAAGGTAGGATGCTGTTCAGAGAGTTGGTGTGGACTTGATGGGCCAAAAGGCCTCTTTCCACACTATAGGGAGTCTATGAAAGGAAGAAAACTCTCCCCAGTGTCTGAATCATCTGATATTTACCCAAGGATCTCACAAATATAGTTTGCTTCTGGAGCAATGCTGATTTATGGTTTGCAGGTTCCAAGGTCTGCGGAGGAAAATTTAAGACTGAATCTGATATGGAAATTGACAAAAAATGGATTCAAGTGAAAGGTCATGGCTCTTGGTTCTTTTGTGCACCATTGTTTGGGACGTGAGCGTCATGGGCCAGACCAGAGTTTGTGTCCAAGTCTAATTGCCCCTTGAAGAGGTGGTGAGGCATCTTCTTGACCTACAGCATGGAAACAGACCCTTTGGTCCAACTCATCCACGATGACGAGATTTCCCAATGTGACCTAGTCCTATCTGCACAGTGCCATTAGGGAGGGAGTCCCAGGATTTTGAAGGGACTGCTAGCCAATGTAGTTCCAAGTCAAGATGAGGAGATTGACACGACCTGAAATGCTTATCTCACCTCCCTGACCACACTAATGTTCCCGATCCACAGTTGTCTTCCCTACCTTCACCCCTGGTCACCTCAGTTTTCTCAAATCCTCCATTTATTCTTTTCTTCTTCCATCCCACGTTCAAGAGGGGGGGTGGGGTGGCACAGATGTACGAATTGTGTGGGAAAGTGGGGCTCCAGGAGTTGAGCTGCAAAGTGGCCAAATGAATGTTGGACCAGTCCCCCGTGGGGCTGAATGGCCTCACGTTCCTAATATTGCAATATTCCTCATATAGATGAGAGTTGTGCAAACTGTGGCTAAGGAATAGGCAGATAAAATGAATGGGGGTCAAAGGGCATTTAGGCAGATAATGAAGTCACAGCATACTTAGATAGGAGAAACGGGGTCAAAGGACATCCAGACTCCCACAACACTCAAGAAGCTCGACACCATCCAGGACAAAGCAGCCCCATTTGATTGGCACCACATCCACTCCCTCCACCACCACCTTCTCAAGGGCATATAGTGACGGGCAATAAATGCTGGCCCAGCCAGCGATGCACATCCCACAAATGAATATAAAAACAAAGGCAGATAATCTGAATGGGGGAGGGAGTGTCAAAGGGTATTTAAATAGTATAACTGGGGTCGAAGGCGATTTAGGCAGATAAACTGAACGAGGCCAATGAGAGGCATTTCAATTGAGCAGGTTGCAGTTTTCAAGCGACAAACTATCGTGTAGGTAAGTCTGGACCGAAATATTCACAGCACAGACCAAGAGTCCAGATTCTGTTATTGGACACAGTCCAGTAAACCTTTAACTTTGATGTGGTCACCAGAAATTGCTGCAAATGGTTTCCTAATGACTTTCAAAGGAAGGTCACCTTCTTAGAGTGGCTCTTAATCTTTCTATGGTTCGGGCATCAGAGATCACGCAATAAATTCCAGCCTTACTTGCACCCTGAGGGTGTTTGAAGTGGTATGGGGTCTGCAGGGCATATAACTGATGAGGAGAGTAAACTACAATTCTGGCTCCCTAAGCAGATTTTAGTCACACCATTGGCGCATCCCGCCTTTCAGTCGCCTGGGGTTCTCAGGAATTCCCTCTCTCAGCGTTGCCAGCTCTCTCCCCTCTGTTCCAGTAAGATGCTGCTTAAAAACTACTCCTTTGCCCGCCCCAGCTATCGCCCAATGTTGCTCCATTGCGAATCTTCACCTGACAAATGCCACAACCCAGTGAATTTGATAGGGAATGTTGTCCTCAGGAAAACTGCTGATACCTAAGGGCAAGTTGCACCAGGGTGTTGAGTGACCTGGTTCCATAGTGGCCGTGTTAAACTAGCCTTCTCTTACACGCGCGCACAATCATACACACACACACATACACACACACACACACACACACATACACACACATATACACATACACACACACACACACATAGACACACACACACACACAGACACACACACACATACACACACACACACACACACATACATACACACATACATACACACACACATACACACACACACACATACACATACACATACACACACACACACACACACACACACACACACACACACACATTCGTTAACATTCCTGAGGCAGTTTTGGCAACGTCGTCCTCATCCGATTTTATTTTTTTTTTGGCGGTGGGGGCAGCCTCTCAATCTCACTTCACTTCCCACTTTAAATAGCCCAAGGGGTATGAAACTCTCTGTATTTTGTACCGCGCTCATAAATCAGGTGTTTATCTGGAAGTGTCAGACCTAGTCAGCTTTTAATGAGCAGATGCCTGCACAGTTTGCAACACCGAGATATATCCTGTTAAAATTGCTCTTAACATTGTCGTATGCTTGCTTATCAAGGCTCCCCAAACCGTAATTTGAAGATAACGATATTGACAAATTACCTCTTCTGTCCGTCAGCTTTACGAGTTCAAATTCAGCTTAGAACTGATTGTGAAATATTTATAGCAAGCGCTGAATCGCCCACGGTTAGCTACGTGCAAGATGTGCATACCTTTGAAAGCCTCCCATACAGCACAGTATATTTCCTCACCATCTGTTATGCTGCTAAAGCGAAATGGAGTAGGTGCTGGAAGGAGGCTTGACACACCAGCACTGGTCTGCCGGGCCAAATGGCCTGGTTCTGTGCTAAGTAACTCGAGGTAATTACATTTGCCCCTCACCCTAGCTGGGAAACATGTTAAACTATTTGCAATCACAGACCTTTGCTTCTTGTAGCAGGTCATCCGTTGAATAGTCAACTAAGTTCCAAAGGCCAATTGGATCGATACCAATTCGGCCAGAATTAAACTCTGACTCTCCTCACCCTCTCAGCATTAAGGACAAATGAAGAACTTGTTTGTTTGTTTTAAGCTTTATTGTTCTTCAAACAGTGTGTAGGGTTCTGGTCTTCACTTATCAGATCATCTTCAATCAGATTTTCCTCACAGCCGATTGTAAAAATGAGTGAGCTTTTCAAAGTCTTCCTTCTCATCTGAATTTCAAAGTTGCAAAGTCTCAGTCATTTTCCACCATTGCAATCTCAGTTAAAACTGACTTGGTAAATGAGTAGATTCAACCTGCATCCTCCATTGCTTGACAACTGAGGTGACGATTACAATTGAATGATTTGGAGTCAACTCTGATCTTCAATTGTAGTAACAGCACAAACAATAAGGCTTAGCTCTCCAGTTGTAATGGCTACAATGCCAAGAAACTTGAATTCTCCAAGATCACCCTCTAACATCGTCAAAGACTCCCATAGGAGTAATTTCCAAGTGTAAGTACAAACTCAGCCTCTCCAAATCATTAGGTTCAACGGCACTCAAAAATGACCTGTTTTCTTCACTAGCCTTGCTCAGAGGGTCACAGCTGGTGGAGTCAAATCCATATCTTCCTCGGTTCCTTCTCAGTACCGAAGACAGCAAGAATATAAAAGGAAAAGTGGGTTTCTTCGTGAACGCCAGGCTCTTCCCCTGACAAGACACATCGTCTTCATTGTGATCTCATCCCCATTTCTCCTCCCTCGCTCTTCCCTCACATGGGCTAAATGTGAGGAGCCAAAATACCGGTCTAACCTTGCAGCTTTGCGGTTGGTTTGCCCACCAAAGTTGGGGGAGGGAGGTGTCACATCTCTTCCTCTTCGTTTGCCTTGTTCCAGCGATGGCAGCAGTTGGCAGTAATCCCCAGGAGGAAGTTTGTGGCAACCGAGGCAATGGACACGATGAAGCCAACGAAGGCGATGAAAAGATAGTCATCCAGCGTCAATGAGAAATGGCACGCCTTAAAACTCTCTTCGGTCAGGGTGAAGAGTGGAATACCTTTGACCTCTGGGGGACCAGCACACTCCACTTCCCTGGAATCTGACACAAAAAGCCTCAGAAAGTTATAACAGAACAAAGAACTCAATGCTATCTAACATACACTGGGCACAGCCTTATATTTATCTCATAGAGTCATAACAGCACAGAAACAGACCCTTCGCTCCAACTTGTCCATGCTGACCAGGTTACCCAAACTAAACTAGTCCCACTTGCCTGTGTTTGGCCCATATCCCTATAGATCTTTCCTATCCATGTACCAGTCCAAATGTCCTTTAAATGTTGTAACTGTACCTGCATCTACCATTTCATCTGGCAGTTCATCCCGCATACATATACCCTTTGTGTGAAAAAGTTGCCCTCAGGTCCCTTTGAAATCTTTCCCCTCTCACATTAAACCTATGTCCCTGAGTTTTGAACTTCCCTACCTGGGGTAAAGGCCTTTGCTATTCACCTTATCTAGGCCCCCGGTGATTTTATAAACCTCCATAAGGTCACTCTTCAACCTCCTATGCTTCAGGGGAAAAAAAGTCCCAGCCTATCCAGCCTCTCCTTACAACACAAACCCTCCAGTCCCAGTGACATCCTTGTAAATCTTTTCTGCACACTTTCCAGTTTAATAATATTCCTCCTATAGCAGGGTGACCAGAACTGTACACAGTACTCCAAATGTGGCCTCACCAATGTCCACAACATAACGTCCTAACGCCTGTACCCAGTCCTCTGACCAAGCATGTCAAACAGCTTCTTCACCAGCCTGTCTACTTGTGAGACCACTTTCAAGGAACTATGTACTTCTATCCCTAGGTCTCTTTGTTCAACAACACTCCCCAGGATCTTACCATTAAGGGTATAAGTCCTGCCCTGGTTTGTCTCACCAAAATGCAACACCTCGCATTTATCTAAATTAAACTCCATTTGCCACTCCTTGGCCCATTGGCCCAGCTGATCAAGATCCCATTCTACTCTTAGATAGTCTTTCTTGGATGAGGTCTATTGTGATATTGAAGAGCATTTTCAACATTGATGAAAATATAGACACATTGCCAAACATTTTCGTTGAGCCCTCATCAGATCAAACCCAATGATGTCAAATTTCCAACAGTCAAGTTAAGAAAGACTTTGGCTCCATATTGCTTTCACCATGGCAACAACGTGGCCAATCAGAGTCAACTTGCCAACCAATCAGCACCCTTTTCTTCAGTGATATAAACTGTGACTGTCTAGAATTTGGCATTCTTGTATTTATCCTTATGATAGCTCCAGTTGGCAAAATGTTTCTCTTTCCAGTGAAGTTCGAAAATTACCTTCTACTCTACCTAAACATTCAAATAATGAGAAGAGCAAGGCAGATAAAAATATGCCTACTACAAAGACATAAACGTTACATTTATATGTTGACTTTCACATTTTCAGGTCATCCCAATGCACACTGAAATGAATGAGCATATGGATTAGGAGTAGGAATGGGTCACTTGACCCCTCAAGCCTGCCCCGCCATTCAATAAGGTCCGATTGCCTCACATTCCCATCTGCCCCAAATAACCTTTCACCGCCATGAAGTGTCATCACTGCTGTCATAAATACGTAGCTGCAATACTGTGCACAGCAAGATCCCACAATTGGCAATGATCAGATGACCTGTTTTGTTTCTCATTAATGGCACCAGTGAATTTCAAAAGGCATGAAGTTGTCAGAGGCTTTTCATATTTCAATACACAAGTGGATTCGAGCTTTGCATATTTGTAATCCAATTTTAAACATTGATCTAGCTCATAGGTAGAATCCCTTCAGTGTGGAAGCAGGCAATTTGGCCCATTGAGTCCACACCAATCCACTGAAGAACACCCCACCCAGACCCACTGCCCTATCTCTGCCTTTCCCGTGGCTAAGCCACCTAGCCTGCACATCTTTGGACTGTGTGAGGAAACCAGAACAACCAGAGGAAACCCACACAGACATGGGGAGAATGTGCATACTTCACACAGCCTGAGAGTGGAATCAAACCCTGGTCCCTGGTGCTGTGAGGCAGCAGTGCTAACCGCTGATCCACCGTGCTGCCCTCTCTCTCTCTCTGGACAGCGGAAGAATTCCTGCAAGCTATATTAAATTTTCCTTATTGCTTCTTAGGACTTGTGTCCCTTATTCTACCCTCACAGAGTCACTGGAAATAATTTCCCCTTGTTTATCTTTCCGATAATATTTAATTGTTATAAACTCCCCTGTCAAATGCCCTCATTCTGATCTGAAAGACCCAGGTTCCTCAGACTAATATATCCATCTTTCTCTCTTTAGACTTCTCCTGGCTCATCTTTACCTCCTTCAGTGACCAACGTGGTTAGATTTTCAACCAAATAATCTTCACCAGATCAGTATTTGTAAGAAGGGGATCCGCATGACATGACCTGTTCAGAGTTGTTCACCAACCATATGCCACTGACCGTAACTATGGTGAGTTCCGGGTGAGATCACCATGTTGCATATTTGATTGCTGTCTCATTCAAGGTTGATTGATTGATCCCCATCCAATATCTTTGGGATTGTAATTATTTTAAATTGGTTTATAATTGATACAGGACTGTGAGGAGAGAGCAGTGTAGTGAGGTCAGTTGGGGATTGATACAAGGCAATGGGGAGTCAGCAGGGAAGTAGGATTAGTTTGGGGACTGATACAGAGCTGTGGGGAGAAAGCCAGGCAGTAGGATCAATCTGGGATTAATACAGGGCTATGGGGAGTGAGTGGAGCAGTGGGATTAGTTTGGAGATTGATATAGGGGTCTGGGGAGAGCATGGGATAGTGGGATTAGTTTGGGGATTGATACAGGGCTAGGAGGGAGTGAGCAGAGCAGCGGAATTAG